CCCCCCACCCCAACACCCAGACAAAATGCCTAAGCAACATTTCTCCCCGCAACGAAGAAATCAATCGATTTGATAGAACACTCCTGACATCGCATGCATAATGCACGACAATATAAACTCTGGCGTCCTCGTTCAATTATACGGCTACGGATTGCATAACGCAGCAAGAACGCTACGACGCTTCTTGCAACCATTTAGCGATGACATATCCACGCTAGTCCCCAATAAGAAAGCAAATATATGTATACGCCATAGAAGACAGTCGTAACGCGAGTCTAACAGAAGGGTGCGATAAATTCTATGAGAACATCGAAGTAGTTGGCGAGGAGAATGAACTTGGTTTATTTTATGCATCATTCTCCGAGAGCGTGACGTCACGCCGTACAATTCGAACGATATTCTCTTCCTCCCTCTGCCCAAGCTCATCGTCCACGCGCGCCCAAGGAGCGGAGTTCCTAATGAGCTAACGACGCATCGGGATTGACATGGCGAACGGTCCTTTCTTAACGAGGAGCAGGTTAAGTTGTCGAATGGCATTTAAATTGGCCAAGGCTCACAGTTCTGGGCTACTTTTTAAAATGATTCCTGGTACGGCGACGCGCGCAGACGCCGTCGTCGCGTAGCTAGAATAAAAGTTGTCGATCTCGAGTGTCACATGGGAACGCCATGGCGTCGCTATAATCGTCTCGAGCAAATCAAATTGACGGCACGTAGACACCGTCTCCTGGATGCTGGATATTCACCACGTAATATCTACTCGACGTTCCATCCTCGTGGTTCTTCGTTATCGGACTCGTGGATGCCTATTCTATTTCGTTATTTCACGTGTCCCGGGCGCAGTCGGCGAGACTGGGCCGGTGGATCTGCCGCAGGGCTGCTGGGTACTCCTCGGCAAGGAGTCTCTTAGCTATCTGCCGAACGGCATCTGACTTTACTGGGCCACGCGGTTCCGGGTTCCGCGCAAGAGAGCAGCGCCGGCCAACCGAGGAGCCCATTGCTCTGGGCTGATCATCCTCGTCGTCATTAACTTTAGCATCGTCAGCCGACAATCATCCAGCCGAGCAAGTTCGGGAGCGCCTATGAGAATAACAAATCGGATCATCCTTTGGCAAACATGCCGACAGTGGTTATATCAGCACCTTCACTGCAGTAGGTCATACTCGATGACCCTGTCTGACTGATAGGATAAAGATTATTCTCTGCTATCCCAGACGTTGCGTACACGTTAAAATGGGTGATTTTCAAAAGGATCTCAGTGAGAATGGCATCGATTTGACAAATGTTCAAGGCGATATCAGCGCCAGGACGAATTCCAGTATCAGGCCCTGAGTCGATTTATTAGTCGATAATCAATCACCGCTATGCAATTGTTATGACAACAAAGTCAATCGTTGTCTTATCGATACATATAGCTATGGGTAACGATACCAGGAGCATAACTTGAGATTAATGGATTCTCCTTAAGTTTCATTAAGATCACTAATATTTATAGGGATATACAATCAATAATATCGTCACTCTTCTTTTTATCAGCAATGCGCGCTTATGGTTACATTCAATCGACTGATGACGATCTATTATGAACGTATGCGCGACACTGGGTAACCTGTTATATCAAAAGCGAATGACCTTTGGTCATTATCATTTTCATACATTGCATGGCTCTCTATTATTATATATATATGATTCACTGAATATACCTGCCGGTTGATTCGCAACGAGCGACAATTTACATCGCAGCCTCCCGACGGCCGGACGTCCGCGATCTGTTTATCGGTTAAATATTTGCGGGAAATCCTTGCGCTCGATTGCTCATTGGAAAGTCGCACCTCGTTCGCAAACAATCCAAAATTACTAGTACGTTAAAACACTAGCGTGTCGGACAATGGCAAATTGTTGATCCCACGTGAATATTCGGCAAGCAGCGTGACAATCAATGTAAACGAAGAAGCCGTGTGTAAGGTAACTACAGCGCCCTGTGTATGTGACTTTTGGTTTGACACAGTTACAGTATTTTTAAGAAGTGTACAGTTGCCGTATAATAATTTTACCAGATACATTACCGGTTCGACGTTTCTCACGAATAATGGGATCGATCGATTAAACGTTTGCAGGATAACAAGACAAATTGAAAGGACGATCCAATTCGAAGAATCCTTGCCAACCTACGTACGACTTACAAGGCACTTGACGGTGAATAATTTCTACTACCTCGCGTCATCTAGAGGCTTTATTTTTGCACGCAGGAAGTGAGCGACACCCAGTCACTTCGGTTACGGCAGTTACGACGGTTATGACTGTCCTCCGGTGCGGCTCGGTAACCAAGGACGAGTTTCTAATAAGCTCCAGACACTGAAGACCCTCGGATACTATAGAGGCAGCACAGCTGCGTCCTCGTGGCGGACGCTTCGCGGGACAAGACTCGAGGTTGCTTTGATCTGACAATTATTGAATCGCGTAAGAATTAATTATTAAAAAATTGACTGCTTGTACCGCTTGGCCAAATTTGACAAAACTATTAATGATCTCGAAGTAGGGGTATCTGATTCTCGTAAAAGCCCAAGGTAGAGGGGGCTAGCTAAGGCGAGTAGAGCATTCCCTTGATGAGGACGATGATGTCATCGAGGACGTCATCGTCAAGGAATAGCGCACCGATGTAAACGGCCTTAAGGGGATCGTGTGTCTTTGCCAGAGCGGCAGGTGCATCATCTTCAAGCTGTTCACGTGTCTGAAGACACGTGACGGAAAAAGAGTCATAGGTACGAGAGAAGGTTAGTGGTTACGTCATGAAGGAAACATTTTAACTGTATCTCGAACATGCCTTGGATTCTGCAGCCGCGTCAACGCTTGTTAATGCTAGTCTGATCTAAGCTTCCAAGGTGAACCTGGCGAAGCATAGAACGGGATAATTTATTGATAGGTTAATACTGTGCTACGTATTCGCTGACAATGAGTGCGTGTCGCGCCCGAAGTTTCTCCTCGGATATCTTCGTGTAACTTCGTGTCCTTTATGAAATTGCTTTTCGTATGTCCAAATGACAGATTTAATGGTTTTCGAAGTTATTCGTAAAAATGTATAACTTATGTGTTTATGTGTGTTTTATAAGACTCACGTCTCTTTCAGATATACCGTAATAATATCTCAAGGAATCCTGAGACCTCGTGGAAGTGAATTCAACCGATTGGTTCTTGGTAAACGGGCATAAAGAATTGACGTTATGGCTAAGGATACAGAAAGAAATATGGAGTCCGTAGGGTCGGCGGCCGCTCCTTGGTGAGATTCCTCGTAAATATTGCAATTTAAATAATTGGACGTCGTAAAGATTATAATTGGTGCGAACGCGATGTGAGAAAAGAGACAGTGGTGGCTCTGAGGGTTCACTGATGTATTACGGCAGTGCGTGACGACGTATGCAAAAATTTATAGTGTCAATTTAAAGAAATTTGTCAAGTCGCGTTACGCCGGCATTGGGGTCAAGTTGAAGAATTCATATCTCGCAATGATCATCAAGCAGCAGTCCGGGCGAATCGATCATTGAAGAATTCGTCTAGACAAAAGTAATAAATTTCAAATAAAATATCCCAAAATACGTATTAATTCCTGTAAATCCAAACGACTACCGCTTTCGAGATTATGATATACGAATTAATTCTCCGTCCTCGTAGCCGACGTTTATACCTAAAAATGCATGAGACCCAAAATGGCTTGAGGGTCTCTCGACTGGATCATCGAAAATAAAAATTGGTAGCTGCTTTTGTAAATTAAAAAATGTTCATCAGAACCGACAAAGCATTACCATTCTATCGTTTTGGACTCTCAATATTTTCTTAAGCCGTCCCACGTCCTACCCACTTTCTTATTCATAACAATCCCACGAAATGTTCGTCAATGTCGGTGCCTTCGAACTGTCAGTAGATACGAGATAAGGATACAAGAAGAAAAGAATTTTTATAGACCGCCAGCCACAAGAGGTGGAGCCGAGGACGCTCGAGATCGCATGTGTACCTTACGAAAAGTATATTTACTTCGGGGACGCGGCAGGAGCCACAAATCTAATAAATACAAGAGCAAATATCTCAACGTGAAATGTCATTTTGTCGGGAGAGATATTTCTGGCATTTTTTACTTACATCATTTTTTTTGTACAAGGTAATGAAAAACCACAGAATTACGAAAGGACTCGAACTTACTACCTGAGGCCCGAGCGTCAGTCACGAGGGTCATGAGTATCCTCATGGTTCTCGGAAATAAAGAGAAGCAGAGACAGACAAGAAATTCTGACATGATTCGCAGGCCGAATATATAAAATAATACTGTCCTACCCTTTTTATAGGAATCGACGTTCTCATGTCCCAAGGTACAGACATCCTGTTCGAAGATTCAAGACTCTCGTGGATCGGACCAAAAGTATTACGTCCCTGTATGTCTATATATATTTTCAAGAGTAACGGTAATTAATGCCCATAAATTCAAGTTCACAGCGAATCGTCGACAAGGGCTGCTCGATTTATCGATCGACGGAAATGACCGACTGGAAGAGCACCGAGTCGAGTGTAAAGGTTGTGTAGCTAGAACCGGAAGTACAGGCCGGGTATGACGTACCACTTCCGATCCGAACAGGAATGAAACAGCTATTGCGAAGAAACGTCGATGCCGCGATGGTCGGACCATTAAAAAGATTGGAAACGTTAAACCACCCACCTCGCCACCCCCCGCCACAACCATAGTTTCTTCCATAGAGCATACACGTACAAAGTATCGACTGACAAAAGACGCCATGACATTTGGTCGAATTCACAACTCGCGATTCTAATTCGCCAATGTCCATTGTCGAGTAGTGTAAATCTGGCGAGGATTTAAAAGAAAAAAGGAACAAGGCGAATTTACACGAAGACGTCGTCTCGATTTCGTCTTGAGACGTGTTTTGAGGAGAGACGCTGTCTATGCGGTGTAACCTTTGTGTCAAATTAAAAGACGCTCTAATTTCGTCTAATGGCAAGGAGACCGAAGTAACGCTCGGAGTCGTAAGAAGATGCTGCAAGCTTCTACTTACAGATAACAGGTGGATAATAGGTAGGATATAACGCGTGCACAAAGTTCCAATGAGCAATTCCGCCGGTGGGTATTTCCCGAGAATAGAAGTTCCCTAGGCCGTTAACGAGTCAGAAAACCATTTAAGTTCGCCCGAACGGGAATCAACGGCGCAGCCAACAGGTCTCGTTCTCGCGTTTAACTAAGCCAGCCGTTAATGCCGAGTCTTACGTTCGCAAAGCTGCGAGGTTGTCGGCATTGTTTTCATTAACGTCAAACAGACTATTGCTTCGAATCTCTGCTGCCGTATGGTGACGATTGTAGTCGACTTTGGAAAAGTTTATTAGAACGCTTCGAGTAGGTGGCCGATGCCGGTTATATGGGATTGTGAAAATTCTATTAGGAATCGCGAGAATACGAGGAGCCCTATACTGTGCAATTGAAACGGCACTCGTTCCAATATGCATGAATGGATTTTCACGAGGAAAATTTTCATTTTCATTTGAATAATTCTCGATAAAATCTCACCCTTCGCCTTCGTTCGATAACGTTAAACGGATTTGTCGCGAATAAAAATAAAATCTCAACATTGATACATTAGAATAATACATTTCCATTCCCTATTCACGAGACACTGATTATTCCTCCGATTAGTTCAATTAAACAGTGCTAATTCGATCGGTAATCGTAAAACGTCTGTCCCAGCGCTAATGAAATTTAAGATGAAGCAATCGAAAAAAAAACATCCCTCTGTAATCCCAATCGATAATAATTTTAATGGTAAATCATTTTCTTATCGATCAAAATCTTATCGAGTTCAACCTTCAATATTCATCGTTATGTATATGAAATATACAGTATAAAAAAATCATACTTTAATTCGTACAATCAACTGATTGTTAAACAAATTTTGTTTAGAAAATCCTAATAACAATTATTCATCCAAGAATTAGACCGCCACACATGTCCACCACTGTTATCATTCATTCACTGTTCAATTCGGTACCAAGAAGCCAAGCATCAAACTAACCCGTTCGAAATTGCCGAAAATTAATTAAGAAAGGTGAAACTTAGTGAATCCATGATCAGATTTGCCAACTCGACGACTCGCCAGCCATCTGTATACTATATATATGTATACAGATATCTAGTGCGCCATGCTTAAAGTGACGGAGATATCATTTGCAAATAGATTCCTTGAAGTGTAGCATTGTACCAAACCTAACCCAGATTACATATCGTTGTTTGCTAACCTCGGCGAGTTGGCGAGCTGCAGCTGCTTTGAAATGGTACAGCCTTATAAGTGGGACGCCTATGCGATTCTATTCGAATTACAACGGTGCCTCCTGGTGCCGAAAAAAACGTTCAGCACGTTCGTTTGGCATTTGCGGGCATATAATAACAACAGCAGCAGCAATAGAGTACACTCGTGACAAAAATTATGTACGAAATAAAATAGGCATGCAAAAATAATATTATGTATATATATGCCCTTTTCGAAATAAGTCAACATGCGAATAAAGCAGGTAACAAAGTTGGAGCAGCATGAATGTGCAGCTTTGAGGTTATGATCGATCAAATAATTATACGTTATATATAATATCCGTTGTATATGCATAGGGTCGCGTGGGTTTGGCTCGGTTCGACGAATCGACGGCAGCGACTAGACGGTTCAATGGAAGAAAGAAAAAAAATTCGTATTACGTCATTATTATTCGCAAGCTTCTTCCGTTATTTGTGTCCTGCGAATTGACGCGTTACGAAATTTCCGATGTAAAGGGAGATACAAGTATTTCGCGACATAGACGGCTGACTGTGGATAGCCTTAAGGGTTTTACTGCTCGATTGTAAGTGTATTGATAGTTAATGGGTAACTTGTTGCTCCGTGTATTTTGAGAATAGATTTGAAAATTTAGATAGACACTTGGCGGGAAAATTTGAATTATCTTAGCAATCGCAAATTTTCAAGATCTCCGTATCGTATTGTTAGGGAAATTTTTATGAGGACATGGTACAATTTTTTATGGGGAGATACCTATGACTGTAATCGAAGGAATTCAAATCTAGCTCATATATGAATGGCTTCGATATTATTTAAAAGCTCGACTATTCGCGTGCTCGCTATCCATACGGGATTCTATCGTGGAATTTTCGTAAATTTACTATCGCAAACCATTTCACGATTTTTTAACGTGGAATAATAGACTGTTGATAGTTACCTCGTCTGAATTGACTGTACGGCCTGCGCTGTCGTTGCGCGAAGATTCTGTCCTGGAGAATCAGCAGAAGCAGAAGCACGAAGAGATGCCGAAAAAGTCCCATTTCATTCGATGATCAATTGCGAATGTTCATTTGCAAATTTTTCACAGATTCTATATGATACTCTGTTCCGATAACACTGACACGTTAAAAGCCGTCCAGGCGGCTCCTGATTTGGCGGTTTCTTTTGAAATATCTTCGTCCCATGTGTTTTCTTGTGACCTCGTTCGAAAAAAAAATTCGCAAGGTGCGCGGTGCGGTGCCTGTGCAATTTTCAAATAGAAAGATTGGCAAAATTGTTTAACATACGGCTTTACCGAAACTTCGCGAATCCGAAGCAGCGCAAGTTTACGAATGATTCTCGGATTTTTTAGTCACCGATAAGTTTCGACAAAATTTGTATCGCCGAGTTGATATTGGCCAAAATGTATACACTGATTTTTAACGATTTTTCGCCAACCTCCAAGATCCCTCGATCATCCTTCAAAAAGTTATAAATGTGAGAGCGTGTGCTTTGAAATTTCAATTTTTCCCACGTCCCATAACGGCGCTTGGTTTCTTGTTAACCGAGAACATTTCCCACTTTGGTTCTACGAGATTTCGGTTTTTGTTTCGGTGATTAAGAGATTGCGGGGCTGGCGAGTAAGAAGCACGCGGGCATCGAAATTACGCGTTCGAACAATAGAGCCTTGGCGTTGGCACTGTTTTCCAATTATTTTTAATTATTTTTCTGAATAAAGCCGTCCCGGTTGCGTTTGGTGCAACTGCTGCAAGCTTTTTTCATGTAAATGAATTTACGTTACGCAAACAATAAATAAGATAATGCAGCTATATCAAAGAAGCTTTTCATTGTTATTCTCATTTTCATTCTTGAAAACCTGAGAAAAATCATTCTCGTATATTTTTTTTTTTTTTTCACGAGACTCAATAACAGACAAACCGAACCTTATTTCAGTGGACTAGCTTTAACTTTTTGTGAAAGTAGAAAAAAAATATCCTCAATCATAAAACGACAATAGAATAAGAATCGCGGGTAAGAATATAATTTCCTGTTAAAAAAAAAAAAAAAAAACTTTGACTAACTATAAAATATTTCAGAATCGATACTAGTACCCTCCATCCCCATACCGATTAATCTCAAATTAATATCTAATACTTCCTGCGAATAAAATATATATATTTGCTCCGTCATTCTATTTTAATTTTTTATTTTTCAAAGCCGAATTCATAACCGAAATTACCAATCGTAGCTACTCGCGAAGCTCACCGAATATATTCAGCGCTGTACGATCGACACTATGTGGCGACTGAATGTATCCAAGTTCTGCATTCCAATAGAAGCTGTCGCGTCGCCCGAACCTGGCAGACTGGCAAACTGGCAGAACGTAGAAACGTATAGTGAACGAGCGACAGACTGCCTAGAACCCCACCTTCGCTGTCAAAGCGGTGGAAGCGTGGGAGGCGA